TTTTTTTTGTTTTGTTTTCACGCTGTTGCAAAGGATTTGCTCCACAAACTTGGAAATACTTTGAGCTGATTAACGTAGGAAGTGTGTCCAAATACCATTGTGTTTGGCTCAGTATAAATAACAATGACTGTTCCCCTTCCTTTCCAGTGACTCTTGCTACTTGGCATCTCTCGGATCTACCAGCCGTACACAAACAGTTATTAGCTGTTTCAAGCCCCAGATACTCTACCTCGGCCCTTCCTTCCGATGCGTTGCGCAGGCAGCATGCTTCATCCACTCTGTTATTTACAAGTCACGTGCGATGTGACCTTGCCAAGATTTTTTTAGAGATAAATGTCTCTTAATTTATGCATACCTGGCCGGGAAGGATTATTTTCATGATTCACGTTGCACCAAGAAGCACAAATCTACTTTTTCCTAACATGTAAACAATGTAACACTTGATTTTTTTTTTTTATTTCCTCCTATCGTAACGGATAATTAATGTCTTATTTGTAGTGAATCATATTAAAGTGATCTTATCGTTATTAGTTTTCACACGGTGCCTTAAGAAATCCTGCGATGTTTTCACGCTGCGTTTTGGCACGGATGAGGAAAGGGTGAGGCCAAATCAGCTCCACGTCACCGCTGGCCCGAGCTGCGGCGTTTCTAGCCCTGTCCCGGCAAGGAGAGACGCCTCAGGGGCTAATGGCGCATCGCAGCAGCTGAGGAGCCCGGGCTAGAGGATGTGAGAGCAAAACCATGGAGGTTTTTAATCAACAGCTTCTCTTTGGGAGATCTCCTCCTAAATGCTAGCCTGACGCCAGCGAGTATTTCGCATTGTTTATTGAGTAGCACCTCCTAGCGTGCTGTGTAACCTCTTTCTTAAAACACACTTTAATCCACAGCAGCAAACGCAAGAGCTTCTGAAAAGGAAATTATACAATTGGTAGAAAGACCGGAATTAGTGGATACGTGGATAACCTGATAAACGGAGAGTAGTAGGGAGAAGTCTCGCCTGGAAGACCTGTTGAAGTCCCTCGAGTACATCCTCAAACGGATGGGTCGGGAGAACAAGGTGCTACACTCTACTTCCGATTTCCAGGCACCTTTTTAAGGATAAACAGTCGCAGATTAAGAGGGAAAAATGTAGCCTGGACAAATAATGGAGTAAAAGATCGGAAACGCTTGCTTCTGGTCGCAGGTGGACATCACCGGTGGAAGCCCGCAGGGACCTTCACCCCTCAGCGTACCCACAAGCGCAGAGTTTTGGCAAGTTAAAACCCAAGCTAGGAACCGAGAGGTATTTTGCGGATCATCCAGCTCTGGTGGTACTTGAGTTATTGGAAATCTCTGCTGGTTAGGTAGAGAGTTGTCCTAAACGTTCCCACAGTAGGGAACTGGTTTGTTTGTCATCTTGTTTTGCTTAGTTTCTCCTTACTCGTCGCCACCTTGCCTCCTGTGCTGGTGGGCCAGCAGGTTTTCCCGGAACAGGTCGTGTGTCTGGCACCGAGCTGTGGCACTATCTGATAGGCGAAAGGGACCGTACGCCTGTCGGACAGCCCCCAAAAGACTTTTATTTCAGAAATACCAGTGATCCAAAGAATTACAGCGACTGGCACCGTGCAGGTGAAACACCAAAACACCGACCGACTTCTCCCAGGTCACGTCTGGTTTCTGTGCGAAGCACAGAACTGAAGGCGTGCCTGCAGTTCCCGAGCAGGAACTGCTTTGAAATCGCTTTGCTTTGAGCTTAAGATCGTAACGATAAAATGTTTTTCTAATCGGAGCCACGCACTGGTCCTAGAGCAGAACAACCCAGCTCAACCCATCGCGTGCCGCGTGTCCTCCGTCTCCTCATCTGGCAGATGGTTCGAACGCTGGTCCTTCAAATACCCGTCTGGGAAACCTGGGCTTTTTGCTCACCGAGAAGGAACTCGAGATATTTGTTGTGCTATCTCTTGCCTCAGGTGTGATCCTAATTCCTTAATTCATCTTCTGCCCTTTCTCTGTTTCAGCTTTTGAAGTCTCCTGGAGCGCTGCGGCCCCGACCTGCGCAGGATGGACCCCGTTGTTCTCAGTTACATGGACAGTTTGCTGCGGCAGTCGGACGTCGCTTTGCTGGAGCCCCCGAACTGGCTTAACGATCGCATCATCGGGTTTGCCTTCGAGTACTTCGCCAACCACCAGTTCCAAGAATTTAGTGATCAGGTTTGTTTTATCAGCCCCGAAGTGGCTCAGTTCATTAAATGTGCCCTTAGTCAGGAAGAAATAGCCATATTCCTTCAACCGCTGGATCTTCTCCACAAGAAACTGGTGTTCTTGCCTATCAACGATAACTCCAACCAGGTCGCTGGAGGCACCCACTGGAGCTTACTGGTTTATTTCAGGGACAAAAAGTACTTCGCCCATTACGATTCCCACAGTAAATGCAATTCTGTCCACGCCAAGCAAGTGGCGGGGAAGCTGGAAGCTTTTTTGGGCAAGAGAGGGGGCAAAGCGACTTTCGTGGAGGAGAAGGCGCCCGCCCAGCAGAACAGCTATGACTGCGGGATGTACGTGATCTGCAACACGGAGGCTCTGTGTCAGGGATACTTCAGGGGTCGGCCAGAGCCTTTGCTGCAGCTCCTCACCCCCTCCTACATCACGCAGAAGAGATCGGAGTGGAAAAATCTCATCGCGAAACTGGCGCAGAAGTGAGCGAGATGCAGCTCCGGCCTTTCCCCCAACCCCCCAAAAAAAAACTGCCTTCCCCATCCGTGAGGCAGCACCCCCAGTGCCTGAGGGAGATGCCTATGCGCAGGATTGTCCCAAAGAAGAAGAATGTAACCCCTCCAGCATGGCTAAACCCCCCCCAAATCCCCTTTTCCCTCCTGGAAAAGCCTTAGTCCCCTCTGGAAATCGCTGGCCTTTGAAATTCTGAGGAGAAAAGTCGCTTTGCTTTCAAAGAAATCGCCTCTCTGTGGTGAATTTTTACACTAATTGCTGTGGCAAAATGGGTTGCTAAAGAGACTTCTCCGCCTTTGCCCAGCAGGCAACATGCCCTCGTTAGGTGGCTTTAATTAGCTACGGGCATTGCCCTTCTGAGACAAGTTTAACAAATGCCCTTTAAAACCAAGCCCCAAAACGCTTTATCGTGGCTATTTCTAATTTGTGCCTCCTGCTAGTGCTGTAGTTGAGCAGTCTAGGATTTAGCAGCAAGGATTTGTACCCCTTAAAAACCTGATGCTGATTTGATGATGTCAAAAGACGAGACTCGAAAGGGAATGCTACAATTAATTAAAGAATTATCTTCAGATAGGCACTCCTAGGCTGTACAGCCATAGCTTTTTTTTTTTTGTCCCCCACCCCTGTTTGCTGCTATTACAAATTAAAACCTGACTCTGAACTGCTGGCAAATTAATAGGAAGCTGAGAAATCCAATCCTAGGAAAGGAAACTTGAGATGAAAAGTAACACTCACGCTTTGAAGGTTTGGGGTTTTTTTGTTCGTTATGATTTTTGGTCGTCTCCATTCAGGGAGGGTTCATCAGCGCTCCCCAACCCTCATTAGTGTTTGTACGAGGCGGTCGCTGCTTCCTCTAGCACAAAACCAGTTCTGTTACTCGAGATAAAAAAAAAAAAACCAAAACCAAACAACCACAACAGGGAGAACAAAAGGACAGAGTTTGAGGTATAAAAGCCAAAGATAACTGCGGTCTCCTTGAAACCCAAGAAATCCTTAATACGCTTCTAATCGAAACACTTTTCCTCCCGTGTTGGATGGCGGCTGGGATGTCAGAGCAGATCCTCTCCTCAAAAGACAGGCTTAGCAGCAGGGAAAATAAAAATTAAAACGAGAGGATGAGGAATAATCTCTAACCTCGTCAGAAGCAAAGAGCAGGTTGCTCGGGTGGCGTCTAGCAGAGCAACCGCACCCCAGTGCACCAACTGGATCGGGGACATCCCGGTTAAATATAACCCTTGGTAAAGGAGGAAGGATTATTTTGAACCCAGAGCTTTTCCCCCCCCATCTTACTGCCAGCCCAGGAAAGTCTTAAACATCGTTTCTTGCCGAGAGGAAGGTAAGTAGCTGCAGCCCAGGCTCTCCCAAAAACACCCAACAAACACAAACAGATCCCAGAGGGGCAAAACGACGGTTGGGTCGTCCCCGTCCTTCCCAGGCTGCCCGGACGGGAGAGCAGCCCGCGGGACAGGGCATCCCTCCCTGGAAAAACCCCTTCCACCGCTCGGACAGAGCTGAAAACCCAAGAGATGGCTGAAACAAGATCAAGCCAGATCGCTGAAGGGGATTCACTTTGCACTCCATGAGGTTTTTGTCGGAGCAACGTCACTGCCGCCGCGGGAGGATGCTTTTCTCCCCGATCCAGAATAAAACTTGAACCAAATCGCGTCTTTGTCAGCATCACCTTGTCTTTTGCGCAGGTACCCGGCCGACAAGCGGTTTCCTGTTGCGGGATGGTATCGCGGCCACGATGGTCGCGACTCAGGTCTCGCAGCGGCTTCTCGGCCACTGTGTGCCCTGCAGTGGGTGAAAACGAGCAGAAATGGGCTCCAGAGAGCCAGCGAGCGCAGGGACAGCTCCGCCAGCACCTTGTGCGATAGTGAGGAGGCCGCATGGGCCGATTTAATCCCCTAATCCTATTTTTTAGGGGTTGATTTGGGGCGAGGAAGCAGGACAGTGGGTGCAACTGGGGGGGACTCAAGGGTGGGGGGCTGTGCTCATCCGACGGGCACCTCTCGTACCCGTGGGACAGGGCAGGACTGCCAGAACCAGCAAGGCAAGCACCCGGCAACGTTTCCTGCACCCGAGACTTTTACGTGGCGTTCCTTTACACAAAGAGAAGCAAATAAACCCACAGCAGGGCGTCGCCGTGAGAGCAAACACGGCACAGACCAGGCAGGCGAACAAATACCGCCTGG